CTTCTCATAAATGTGTCGACTCTTAACCACTTCTCAGGTATGGGTCGGATGTCTGTGTAATCGAGTTCTTCGGGAAAGCCATAGATATTAAGATACGGCGATTGAATTGTAATCTTATTGACGTCAACTGTTGGCAACCCGTCCTCTTCCAACCATTCATTGTATTTAATATTTTGTTTTACAAAAGCATTGTTTAACACTTTTTTAAACTCTTTCCATTCATTTCTGTTACCATTTATGGGAAATCCTAGAATAAAAAGTAAAAATGATTACATTAATAAACAAACTGATGGCCGACTCACCGGAACAACTGGGCGGTAACTTTTCATCTATAAAACCACACAACGGATTAAGGCATACGACATAAACCCAGGGTTTGTTTGATTTAACAATTGTTGGCGAAGGGATAAAGTCGTCGATCACATAGAGGTCTGGACTATGTTTGGCCGCAATCGCCTTCAGTGACGGTTCGTTAACCCGTTTGGTGTCAAAGAATACATCCATAAAACCCGAATCGCGCGATATTTTTATCGATTCAAATGACGATACGTTTGATATAAGGCCCGAATCGAGCAAATATTTGGCTAACATTTCGCCCGGCATTTCACTCGTTTGGTCGGAAGACAGCACTTCTTCAATGAAACCAAACGGCGATAACTTTCCCGCAAATGACTTATCGATAGCGAACACTATTTTGTGGCCCCGACTCAGCAGTACTTCAGCCAAACCTATGCACGCATTCACGTTTCCCACAGCCTTTATCGGCGCAAATAATATGGTTAACCTTCTGGCCATTTGTTGCTTTTATTCGTTCAGTTTAAATGAAATCAAATGTATGTAAAGTAAATACAAATACGAAAAATTTTGATCTTAAATACTACTTGATGGAATAAAAAATATTTTTATTCTGTTACGTTCACAGTGCCCTAAATGCACTAGGTTAAAAAGTAACATTTACAGCATTGAATTTTTTAATCAATATTAAAGTTTAGATAAGCCTTATAAGCACATGCCTATGAAGTTACTAACATAATAATATGATAAAACTAACCTTCTGATTTAATATTTGCTGATTAGACATTACATAAAAATAAAGCACTTAACAAATGGTAAATACAATACATAACCAAAAATGAATATAAAGTTATTAATTGATAGAATTCACATTGAATTATAGATGTTATTTATATTGTTTAAGTAATACTGATTAGAATGCACTAAATCTTATATACAAAATATAAAATATACTATAGATTCTAATTTATAGTATAGAATACTAATTCATCTATGTATCACAAATGAAATATTTTAATTGTCAGTTAACATTAACCTTATAGTAACATGTAATTCTGGCATTGATATTAAATGAACTGGCATTAATTGAAATTTAACGTATTTTAACAATAAATAATTATCTATAATGTTTATTAATAAAGATATCAATTGAAATAATAAATATACAATTTTAAATTGAATTTATTATTAAACTAAGTTTGACAATAATTGTAAACAAATGAAAAATATAAAGTGTAATTAAATCAAATATAATTTAAGGATGTTGTTGTAAAGTTGTAAATTGTATTTTCAATAATTAATAAACTTTTTTTTATTGAATAAGATTTTCAATTACTTCTGCGGCCTTTGAGTTACAATTGGAGTTTTGGATACGCTTTAAAGCGACGGATAATTTGTGTTTCAATAGCTTATCATTCAATAGCTTTTCAATAGAGTTAAGCAATTCTTGCTCTGAAACGGTGTGCGGATTAAGTCTAATCCCAAACCCTTTCTCCTCCACTCTCTGTGCGTTATCGTATTGATCACCAAATAATGGCATTACAATCATTGGTTTACCGAAATTGAATGTTTCGGTCACAGAGTTGTTCCCGCCGTGAGTTATGACCACATCTACTAATGGCAACACTTTTGTCTG